AGCCAAAAGGCAGGATAAGATCACAGTTTTGATTTCAGATAGACTTCACCTTGGAAGCTGGCATGGATGAAGATGACCATATAGGTGGCAGATTGGAAAAGAATCAATTATTAACATTTGCATTTTTTGAAATATTATTTATTCTTTTTTTTCCCTTTTATCCTGATCATGTGTAATATGTCTATGCTAGGTTCAAGAAGAGATGGGAGGGAATAAAGGAAAGAATGGGGGAAGGAAGGATAATGGGATAAAGGGAAGGACAATAGGAAAAATGGGAAGGGAGGATGGAGCAAAATTACAAAGAAATTTGTTCATATTTGTAACCGCTTCCCTATTAAAATGTAACTGGCGATGCATTTCATGCTTTTAGAGTGCTGTTTCATCAAGTGTAGTTCGTTGAAAGCTCTGAGGAAAACTAAGAAAAACCTAGTTATAAAAAACAATGAGCATTTCTACCCTCTGATGGTCCACGGAATTATTTTTATACTCTTTTAAGCAGATTGACACAAAGCAGTTTGCATTGCTGTGTTTGGGTAATGCTGAATAGCAACCAGAAAAAGAAAATGCTACTGGAAAAAACTTAAGGATAATGAAATTGTGATGCAGACACAGCGTTTGTGTCTTCAGTTTGATTGAATAATTTGAGACGATGAGTATAGCATTATAATGTGAGTAAGTGGAAAAGGTAAATATATTAAGGTAGGAGGGTAGGAGGGACCGACAACAACAACAGCAACAACAACAACAAACCAAGGCAGTTACCCAGAACTTCATAAAGAAGAACAAGCATTAAGTGTGCTCAGACCTCCTAGATGAAGCCCACCAAGCTGCTTGCATAGATTTACCTTTCTTCAAAGCTGCAAATACTTAGTATTTTGATTCTTCCCATATGTCTCAGTACTGGTCCTGAACCCAGACAATTCAGAAGCCAGACGGATGCAAGTTTAGGAAAACAGAAGGTCAACACTTTTCACGGGAGACAGAAACTTTTTAACAGCTGACCTTGCAGTTACCCAGAGCTTCTGAAAGTTGTGAAAATTAGTATGTGGGATGGCCTCAGAGAAAAACAGCTCTCTGGTAAACTGGGCTGACTTGGCAGCCACTGTGGAAATGATCACACAAATCTGCTCCTTTGGCTCCTGGCTGAGTTGCAGCTATGAAGCTCCCATGACTGCAAATGCACCTCTTACCTTTCTTAACTCCTTATGGGAATATCTAGCTCTGCAGCTTTGACCAGACACTATATAATTTAGTGGTTCATGCATATTTATTAGCATGCCCTCAGCCTCCTCCAAACATAGTTGTGACTCCCAAGCTGTTGACAAAGATAGGTCACACAAAACAGTGCCTTTAAAGGAGAAAGGGGAGACAGGAGAAGCAAGCTGATTGCTTTCCTCTTGGTTCTACAGCTGCTTCTCAGCAAGGCTGGCACCACTTTTGGACTGTGCCAGCCGAGGCTCCTAAATCACCTCCCTGGCCTACCTGCACATACCAGAAACACTCTGGAGGGCCACACGGAGGAAGGACAGACCTGATCGAGTTGTTGGTCAAATCCGGATCCTTGGCAGAAATTATCTGTATGGTGGTCCCAATCTCCACGTCCTCAGGCACTTCCACAAAATAAACGCTGGGCTCAAACACGGGGGGCTCGTCCACATCTTCCACACTGATGTGCACAGTGGTGGTGTCTCGGAAGGGGCCCAGGTTCAGGAACCGCATTTCCAGGTGGGGGTTGGCACCCTCTACTTTCAAAGTATAACTTTTCTTGCTCTCAAAACTTAAAGGCTGAGGAGAAAAAAAGTAGATTTAGCATTAGGCACTATAAACTGATTCTCTTTTTTAAAAAAATCTATTGTGATTTTTAAACATAATGTTATACATTTATCATAGCATAAACACTTGCAGAAAGAAACAAAGCATAGAGCTGCAGCTGACTGTCTAATATCCTTTGTTTTTTTTTTTAATTTCACATTTGAACTGAAAAAACAGGGAGGTATTCTTCCAGATTACACCAAAATGCATATTCTATTTTTCATGCTGAAATGAAAATAAAAGCGAACATATCATCGTTGTGTTGTGATTCATACAGCATATTTCACTCCATCCTGAGGGAAAAAAAGAAAAATTAAAAAAAAGAAAAACCAGAAGCATTTCACTGCACTTTGGAAGCACCCCAAAAGCAGATGTAGACATAAACAGATGGTTCCTCAAAGCTGGCCATGGTGGCAGTGACAGGCCAGCGACAAAGGCGTGCACACATGACACATCCCAATTAGGATCTGTTTCTCCTGATGAGATCAGAGTGTGTATCTCTACTCAGATCTCTACTATCTGTACTCCTCTACTCAGCTCTGGTGAGGCCGCACCTGGAGTATGTGTGCAGTTCTGGGCTCCCCAGTATGAGAGGGACGTGGAGCTCCTAGAGAAGGTCCAGTGGAGAGCAACAAAGATGATTAAGGGAATGAAGCGTCTCTCATGTGAGGAGAGACTGAGATGGGCCTGTTCAGCTTGGAGAAGAGAAGGCTGAGAGGGGATCTGATGAACATGTATCAGTTCATGAAAGGAGAATGTAGGGAGGAAGGGGACAAGCTCTTCTCATTGGTGGCCAGTGACAGGACAAGGGGCAATGGGTATAAGTTGAAACACAGGAAGTTCTGTCTCCATGTGAGGAAGAATTTCTTCATTGTTAGGGTGCCAGAGCCCTGGCACAGGCTGCCCAGGGAGGCTGTGGAGTCTCCTTCTCTGGAGATCTCCCAAACCCGCCTGGATGCCGCCCTGTGCCCCGTGCTCTGGGTGTCCCTGCTGGAGCAGGAAGATTGGACTAGATGATCTCTAGAGGTCCCTTCCAACCCTGATTATTCTGTGATTCTGTGATCTGAAAGAGGTCCTGCCTGCCCAGCCACTAACTGGCTTGAGTGGATGCAAGGGAACATGGCCAACCTCTCTCAATGGATGCTGCCCCACCATAAGTAAGCTCTTCCACTTTGTATGAAATACTAAAATATTTGAAAAAGGAAGTGGGAGTGGCTCTGTTTATAACTGTGCTAATGGATAAATAGGGACTGAGTTTCTCTTTTAGCAGCTTCTCTTTTTTTAGCAGCTTCTCTTTTAGCAGCTACTGCAGCAGTGACTTGACCAGTCACAAACCATTTGTCCAAGTCTCTGAGCAACAACGCGGTTGGACACTTCTGCACTCATTAGTTCTACATTAGTTTGATAAGCAGATCAAATTTTATGTGTTCAGGCATTGCAGGAATATACACTACAGGCCTCAAAACATCCCCTGAATGCGGTGGAGGCTTCAGCTCTTTTCTTCTGCCACAGAAATTTCTCTCTTTGGAGGTGGCAACATGTCAGTGGCATCCAAAGCCTCATGTTTTCTCAGTAAAATTACCAGTATTAGGATATTCTTCATGTGAAGGCCTGACTAAAGACTGGAACAACAACTCTTTCATCATTTAACACACAAGGGTGAAAAATAGAAAACTAGAATTGGAAGGGATTTAAAAAATTTTTTTTGGTGTGTATGCCTGTGGGTGTGTGTGCACACTGCAGCTTATGCAAGTCCAATATGATTGAAGTGTCCATGCAATGATATAGCACCAACTGTGCAAAATATGGCAGCACATTCAAACAATGTGAAGGTTGCTCTTTCTCCCCTTTGTTCCACCTTGTAAATCAGTGACTACTGCATGCACAGTTCTTGTCAATAAGGATTTAACTAGCTTTACAAACATATTACATGTTAGTACAAAGTCATCATGGTCTACCAGATGCATATTTATGTATGGTAAAAATAGCAATAAAATGTATTCAGAAGACCAAACAGTTATTGTCCATATGGTAAAGACTGTGCAATATACAGCTGCTTAAACATATAGTAAGAAAAGAGACCATTATATCTTCCAGAACACTGCACATATACTAAAAGCTAAGTTATAAAAGATGAATTATATCACAGAAACACTTAATAGAATGCAGAACCAACTGCATCAGAAAATGACTTAATCACTTAAAATACTTAAGTCATTAAAAAAGGAGAAAATCAAACAAGTGTGGTAGACCTCCACACTTTCGATGCTCATGGGCTCAGACAGCCTCTGTTTGCTTGGATTTCTTCATCTTTGAGCATGGCTTTATTGCTTGCTTTCCATCCTAATCCTTTCATATGCCATGCCTCAACATCACTTTTGTGCTTATCAGATTTCTCCTCTGATGGTATGTTCAAACCTCTTTTCAACACAACTTTTTCTTTCAAAGATTTCAGTATGGTTTTAGAAATTCTTATATACTTATATTTGCATTTTTTCATTTTAATCATTTTCATATGCTTTTATATCAATACTAATTAATTTTTTTTTTTTTGCTAAGTGGGCCTGAAATCTGGCTGCAAGGACAATTGTCCCTATGTTTGACTATTGATAATAACTCTACAGTAAGTCACAGTCATATAGAGAATTTTACAAACATTAACGTACAGCAGCTGGATTGACCTGTGTGTACTTGACAGCAGTAAATCTCTCTTATGATCAATGCCAGATTTTTTTTATCTCTTCCTCCTGACCTATGTCAACATCTACTAAAGCCGTATTTACAGGAAGCAAAGGTAAGCTTATTGACTTTTCTGCTGCAAAGAAATGATTTATTTTCCTCAATGAATGAGTGAAAAATGACATTAAAGTTTTCATTCGACATCAGTTCCACTCTACCAAAGCATTTAAGTACATGCTTTCCTTTAGGGAGTAGTGCCCATAAACAAGAATCGGAGAGAGGTGATCATAAACACATGCTTAAATGCTTTGCTATAGGGCATAGAGACTTGCAGGGTCAAATCTACCCCTTGTGTCATTGCATTTTAGTAGTTAATTTTGTCCCAGGCCTATTTAAATGGAGAATACATTTCTGTATGAGTACACTAGATACACCTAAGCAGAAATACGATTACAGTTTGAAAACCTAGAAAGAAATTTCAGCTTCTAGCATTTATGTAAGACTGTAGAATAAATATCTTATAGCAGGCAGTCTAGGCAAAGTACTCTTTTCTGCATAGCCTGTGGTACAAAGTGCTAGCAGTTTCACAGCTGCTATTTTAGAGACAGCTTCTTCTAGCCTAATTAGCATCTATGGAGCTTCAAGCAGCAATTAAAAGAAAAAAAAACTGCCTGAATTTTATTGGTTTATAAATAATTCTAAGGATTGCTTTAGTATTGTTTGTGGGACACTGCAGTGAAAAAGTGTATGGAGTGAACTGTGTACAGACCAAATGCAAATATTGATCTAATTTCTTCCATTGTAGGATAATGAAGCTACAGAGAATATTTAAATAGATAAAGAGTGAATCAGAATATTCCTCTGGTGGGAAAGACATATTCATGCTAATGCTGTCCCCACTTTTTAAGGCTGCTCCTAAGAACAAAATCTGTTCTTATATTTCAGCAATGAATGTTAAAGAATTTGTGTTTTATAGGAGGAAAGGGGCTGCTGTCACATGATGGGAACGAAGTTACTGTAGCCATAAGGGAATATTGCACATATAAAATATAAGCAAGACGGTTAGCCTTATAAACTACCATAAAAAGGAAACTTCACTACCTTTCTCACAGTTATGATGCCAACTTGGTAATTAGGATCCGTGTTAATATCAAAGACGTCCAGTCCATCTCCATCCACAAGGCTGTATTTCATCTCTGCGTTAATGCCTTCATCCAGGTCTTTAGCGACCACGCGGCCCACGGTGGAGCTGATGGGAGCAGACTCCAGCACACTCATCTGATAATGTTCTGGCACAAGCAGCATAGAGGGAAAGGGGAGAAAAAAAAAAAAAAAAAAAAAAAAAAGCAGTGAAAAGGAAACCCAAATTGCCCAAAAATAAAAGAGCCAGGGCAGGCTATAAATAATACTGGCCAGGCTAACAGGACCTTTCCTGAGGTGGAAACAGCAGTCCTATTTCCATTTAAAAGCAAAAGCCCACACTGAATTGCCTGGCAAAGTTCTATTTAGGTATCTGTGATATGAACAAGTTTCTGTTCTAAACAGCAATATACCTGAAAATGGCAACCTCAGCTGGAAAAAGAGGGCAATTAGCACCAGGGTTGTTGTGGCCCTGATGCAAGCTAGGATATGAAGCAGATTTAGCAGGGCAGGAATCTTGCTGTAGATTAGCTCGTATGGGTGGAACAAACATAGAAGTTTTGAAGCACCACAAATCCTTCTTCAGGTCTGAACAGGCTTCTTTCTCAGGCTAGAACAAAGCCTTGTTAGCTCAGAAGCCTGCCTGTTTCTTCCAAATTTACCAGTTTCTCTATTAGAATGTACTACCTCTCCCTACAAACCTTATCCTGAGCACAACTGATCCATCACTAACTTGCTGAGTGGCAAGCCTGGGGAAAAGAGAGAGCTGCTATTTAAAAAAAATACATTTTTAAAAAAATTTGCATGCTATATCTGTAACACTTTCTGCCATCAGGCTTTATGTTCAAATCTTCCTTGGTGCAATTACTCTGTTAATTCTGCCATTAATTTAGCTTCACATGGCAGAACAACATCAAGGATAAGGTTTGATCTATTACTGTTTTTTCTTAAAAAAACAGAGATTGATATCAAACAGTTACAATTCATGTAACTTTAAAAACAGAATTGGCAATGATACATTCAACAAGTTGCTTTGAAAGGAGAAAAATGGATGTTTCTTGCTGATTTGAGTGGAGTACTTTGATTTAGCAGTGCAGCATGCAGAAACAGATGGAGAAGAAGAATAGTAACAGAAAGAATTGAAGTTTTCACTTCTCTGCCAGGTGAAAAAACGGCAAAACAAAGTTTTCTGGAGATCGATCTGTACCACTAGAGATTAGCTTTCTTCTTCCTTTTTTTTTTTTTTTTTTTTTTTTTTTTTTTTTTTTTAAAAAGAATGTAAAACCTTGAAACATATAGTTCCATCAAACCAGAGATAAACATAGTAGCATCGTGACATGTAGCTAAATATGATAAAAAAAAATGTAAAAGAAAAGGCAAAACATTGCATGTTTTGCTTTGAGACACACTTCTGTATATGCAAGGTAATTTATCTGATACCAGTGGAGACTCTTGTTTTTATATTGTGTTAACCAAGAATGTCATATATCTTAGGTTTTAAGTGTATATTGCCAAGGTTTAGATAAACCTTTACTGGAGGGGAGTCTGTATGACAAGGTACTCTACCCTGATGGCCCCATTGCCAGATGCTTCCCTGCAGCGTCCTGGCTGCAGTGTTGGGTGAATTACTGTCATCTTCCAGCACTGCCACATGTCCCTTATTTGACAGCCATCCTTTTGGTGATAGGATGAAAAGAGAAATAGGGCAGCAATTAGCAGCCGAAGGCAACGGCCATAAGCTGCCTAGGAACAGAAAGCATCTCATGCTCTCCTTTTTTTTTTTTTTTTTTTTTTCCTGTATATTGATTTCCCACATTTTAAAAAAGCTTTGCTTTTGATGACTTTGATGCTCAGAAACCTTTTCTGAATGACAAGCTGCTGAACGTCCCTTTTTGACATTTTTGAAGAAAAGTGCCATTCTTTGATTCCTGTCTCTAGTCATCACTGGAACGGGTTGGAAAAGGGCTGTAATTAGAGCAAACAGCAGTTGTGCGACCAGGCCACCCTTCCTGCCCATGCAGGGATGCCCTGACACAGCAGTTACTCACTCTGTGGAAATCTGGGCGGGTTGTCGTTGACATCAGACAGGGTGATGTTGACTGTGGTTGTTCCAGCTAATCCTCCCAGCTGTCCACCCATATCCTTGGCTTGGATAATCACTTCGTAGTATTCTTTTGCTTCTCTGTCCATGTTCATTAGTGCTGTCCTGATTAAGCCTGTGACATCGCGGGCAGAAAAGGAGACTCAGAAACAAAAGAAGGGGCATTTAAAGAGCACATTGGTTACTGCATCATATTCCCTGTGCAGAGCTCAGCTTCTGCATTCAGTCCCACCTTTGCTGGCACAGAGAAACGCACCCAGGCTAAAACTGGATTAACAGAAGGCGTGAATTTTAAAGGAGCCCAGTTAAAATGCCTCAGTTGTGGGGCAGGCTGTTCTGTTCAAAATCAAAACGCTGTCTTCCAAGGTAGTTGGAAAAGTGCTTCAGGAACAGAGTGTTCCTAAACTGAACGAAGTCCCCCCCACACCTCCCAGGCTATAAATATCTGCAAAATCTGGGTGAAATGTGACTAGTCCAAAAATAAATCCCAAAGAGTTTTTCCCAAACATGCAGTCCTGGAGGCAACCTGCACGAAACCTATGGACTTTGCTGGGTCCTAGTGCATGTATGCTGGAGTCAGAGAGAGCAGAATTTGGGGCGAGCTGAGAACGACTGCTAGTGTGTGTAGGGTGTTCCTGCAAGCCAGGGAAGAGAGCCGGGAGAGGTGGTGGTGGTGGGAATGTCACCTGGCTAGCGCTGCCACCTTCCAGCCCTGTGGACGTCCCTTCCCTCTGAGGTGACACTACTGCAAAAGGACATGAGGTGGCAGCAGCACTTCTCTTATGAGGGCTGCCAAGAGCTGGCCAAGGTGCGCACTGCTTCGCTGAATCACGAAAGTTGGCTCCTACTTTGAATTAGGAGAAATTTGGAGAGCTGGAACTGCCCAGGCTCCCTGGTGGTCCTCCCTCCTCTCCCTCTGCACACGCAGGCTCTGGGGTGCTGCCTGGGTTGCTGAGCTCTCCTTTCTCAGGCAATTTGTGTGCCTGTCTCAGAACATGCAACTCAGATGCTTTCTTCTTCTTTGGCAGTTGGTCTGTTGGCTAATGCACTAATTTCCACTCCTTTTCACCCAGGTGGCCTCCTGAAGCCTCCCCATGTTTGGCTGCTGGAATGCAGGGACACAGGCTTACGTTTACAAAACTGTCAGAAATCAAGAGTGTGAATCATTTCTTGGCCCCTTCATCCTTGCCTGCTGCATTTAGGCAACTTGTGGCTTTGCAGCACGGGGTCTCTGCTTCTTTTCTGATCCATTCGCCCATTGTGGCTGCTCAAGAGGCTTCCCCTGAGCAGGGGAGAACGGCAGTGCAGTGATGCACTCAAGAGGACATGCTCTGAAGTGACAATTTCTTTTGTGGGAGTCAGGCACTAGGGACTCTCTTCTAGTTATATGGTTCAACAGGCAATACTGGCACACTGGCACTCTACAAACTTGTGCGGTTTGTATTTTAGTCTCTATTTTTAGCAGACACACAATGTATGGGTTTAATAAGTGAGCAGTAAAAAGGGACTGCATTTGCAATTATCGCTCTATGCAAAAGGAAAGAAATAGCGACCAGCACTAAACTATTCACAGCACACTATTTTATTCTTGCTACCTGCAGTCCTTAAGAGTTTCATCCTTAGAACACATGGAATCCCATGGCTCCAAAACTCCCATCTATATAAATAAGATATGAGGACTCAGCATTTTGGGATATTTTCTCCATATGAATGATTTGTAGGGAATTTCCCCTCTTGGCATCCCCCCTTAATACAGCATGAGCGAGATCTAGCAAGAGACATCACTGCCTAATAGTCAGGCTCTGCTGTGCCTGCATTTGGGGCTTCTGGTCCCTAAAGGAGGGCCAGTGTATGGCCCCAGAGTAGCTGCCAATCTGAGTAGGGAGCCTCCTATGCTGGTAAACACAACAAACTGGCAAAGAAATGCCGAGAACAGTGGCCTTAAAATCCTCCCTAGGGCTGTGGCGAAGGAGCAGATAACTCTTATCTTCTCTTTTTAGGTGCTGGTGCCATTTCTTTTACCAAACTGAATGAGGCTCACTCTCTTTTAAAAAACAAAAGACCAGAGGTGATGCTTGTTCTTTTCTGAAACAGATAGATGGTTTCTGAGGAAGTGGAACATTCAGAAGATACTTCTTATTCTTCTGATTTAAATCCACACTTCTCATTTAAATCCACATTTCTTTACCTTCTAGGAGAATAAAATTATGGGCAGATTGAAAAAGTATGCTGGAGAAAGGGAAGAACAGATTCTCCACCTGTCCTTTGAAGTTTTTTCATTATGTGCACATTAATTTAGGATTTGTGAGGCAAAAGAGAACAAGACCAGCAACATGATTTGGTACCTAAGACGTTATTTTGGGAGGTAAAAATCATCTAGTAGAAGATAGTTTTGAAACGGGTTGTACACTACTAAATGCTTTAATCATCAGTCACTATTTTAAAGGAGATGGTAAGCAGTCAGGCCCGACTTTGTTTTAAAGGAACGTGCACCTGCAACTGCATCTTGTGCGGCACTAAAACCTGCAGGACGGTTTGGGCTGAAAAACCAAGTTAGAGCCCTTAACTTGTGATGGAGAAACAGTTTCCAGATCAGAACTACACTTAGTCTAACTGGGTGCCCAGTTAGACTGGGTGCCCAATGGTGACATCGTGAAGGTTGATGCTGCTCTGGACACATCTGAGGATACAAATAATTCCAATGAATGTAATTACAAATAATTACAACTAATGGGAAAAACTTCTTGTGCAGAAAGAATGGTTCTGCAGCACTCAAGTACAGGATCATCAGTTTGGACTTAGAGGCCTATATTTTACCTAAATTGTACACTAGTGGTTTAATCTGTGCTGAATCTGGCCATGAATATTGGTTCCTGTTGTTTTAGAAAACGTTAGACAAACTTTATGCCCTTAATTAGTCTGTGTTTGATAAACTTATTACAAAATTAACAGATCTGTTGTACTGATACCATGTAGAATTGAGGAAATAACCTGTACCCAAGCTTGTACTTGGGAAATGCATGTATTCCAAAAACTAGTAATGTTCAGAAGTGGATTATGCAGCATTTGATTCTATTTTGCCCCCCTAGGGTTCAGCAGTAACTATCCTCTCATGAGTTTCTGACCTTAGCACTACAGATGCCCTTTAGAAACTGTCAAAACCTGTCAGATTCCTCTTTTGGATATATGCATTGAGTATAGGCAAAGAGAGAGAGAAAGCAAAGCAGAGAGGGCGTCCTGTAGAGAAACTTAAGGTTATTAACAAGTACGCCCCTAGGGACTGCATCCTTTTACTTGAACTTTCCAAGCCTGGTTGGTTTATGTATATTTATATATGTGTGGGTGTCTGTGTATGTGTGTATATTTTTTACCACTGATATGATAGGTGCCAACAAGAATATTTACAGCACCAAATAAGCCTGGCTCCTTATCTGCAGAATTTGATCATTCAAATGCATATATTACTGCTGAGGGCACTTCCTTTCTCGGGAGGGCATTACTCTGGTACTGCTTTATCCTTCACATAGTGTTACTCTGTGTTGCCTCCGAGACACAGAAATATGTTTCTATGAATGCAGTGGGGACATACTACCTTTTCTGTTTGTTTGGAATTGTTTCTTTTGATGTTTACCACCATTGGCTGATCCCCTAAAGAAGTAACATACCTGTCCGAGAGTCCACAGAGAAATATGGTTGTCCTTGGAGAATGCTGTAGACTACTCTTGCACTATTCCCATAAGTTGGGTCATCAGCATCAGTAGCTGTCACCTGGATAACAGAAGTGCCTGACAAAAAAAAGGTATCAGGTAAGACCTGGTGGGATTAAGACCTGGGAGGAAAATATACAATTCAAAGCAGAATGAAATGCCTAACAAGAACTGTCTCACCCTGGACTTCTCCATTTCATGCTGGTAGTACTTGTACTTATTGCTCATACTTGTATCTCCTTAGCACTAAAGGAACTAATAGGCATAAATTCATCATGACTCTGTAAGAAGACATAAAACAGCAAGTACTTCATGGACCACGGTTACGGAATTGCCAATCTAACAGTATGTTTATGGTGGCATTTTATATGTTGCTGGCTTCTTTTCCACATTTCTTGCTCTTAAATGTTACTTAAAGGCAGCTAAAATAAGACCTACAAATACGCAGATGTACATCAGGAATTGGTGTAGCAGGTCTGTGGATGCTAAATGGTAACCAAGGGATGGAAGCTGCACACAAACTGTGAGCAGGAAGGGAGGTATCTATGAGATAATCTCTCCATGATATTGCAGTTTACATTGCTTGGCCTAGAGATTGAAGCCCCCTGAAGTGCTTTTTGGAAGTTGAACATTTCTTTTCTTCAATTAGTTTTCCACTTCTTCTGAGGCTAATTATGGTTTGGAGATGAGGCAGTTTATCAAGAATAAGGAGAAGACAAAACATAACCATTTGAAATGTATATGAGTTTTGACTCCTTAAAATGTCAGGCAATGTCTTTATGAATGCATCTAGCTTTCTACATAATGTTTTGTGTTCAGAAACAAGTCCTCCATTCATAAATATTCACTGCAAAACAAACGCTAGTTCAAGTTACCCATTACCATTAAGAAATCTTTTTTTCAATAAGACTTTTTAATCTGATCTCGTCTCTAGATTTACATCAACATTATGTTGAAGACTGAGAAACTGAAGCATATCTGCAAATTTAGGAGATGTGATTAACCTGGCATTGTCTCTGTAATGATGTTGCAGAGCCAAAGAGCAATCAGCATCTCCAAAAGAAAACCACCCTCTTTCCCTTGCTGTCCCCCACTTAAAATAGCATTTTGTGTAATTATTGGGAGTTTTAGGTGGAAATGATTTCTTCTGACTTGTGGAAGAGGGCAGCTATTTGCTTTCTGGCTGCACTGCAAGAACAGAATTATTTTTGACATGATCCCACTTTCTAGAAGTGCAGAACAAATGGAATCGCATCTTTGGGATCAGGTGCACTACGCTCTGTGCGTAGAGTTAAAGGGATTAGAAGGAGTGAATTTGCTAAAAAAGCTACATTTCCATCATTTTAAAGGGTCCTCCCTTTAAAATGTGGCTTTTTTAGCAAATTCATTTTGCTAAATGCATTTCAGTTCTCAGCATAAATCAGAATAGGTTCCTGGGACTGTTTTAACCTTTTCTGGCTTGTAATGGCATTGGAGGCTAGAGGAGAAGAGGAGCTAGATTATTGCAAGCTGTCTGAGGATGGCATGTTCTCAGCTTTTCTCAGATCTTTCTCCTTTGATAGCCTCTCTTTTGGAGGAGGCCAGCCACCAGTGGTGTAGTCTACTACCCTTCTGCGGCATCCAGGCACACTCTAGGGAAGCTCTCCTATCCTACTGAATTACTCTTGGAGCACAAGGGGAAAAGCTGAGCACAAGGAGTCAAGCACAAGGGAATTTTTGTTTTTGAGGTCATTTCTAATTTGCTGAGATGGGAAAAGACTTTGCAGAATCTGCCTTACCCACAGGTGACATTTCTGGAACGGAGGCTACGTAAGGTCCATCCAGGAACTTGGGTTCGTTGTCATTGATGTCTTGTATTTTAATGATGAACTCTGACTCTGGTTCCATTGGTCTGCCTGTTCGCCTGTCTAGAGCCTGTGCCCTCAGAGTGTACTGGGATCTTTCTTCTCGGTCCAGCCTTTGAATGGCATGAATGTCCCCCGTGGTATCATCAATAGTAAAGACAATGCCAGCGCCTTCTCCTGACAGGATGTATTTGATTGAACCATCTCCCCTATCCATGTCAGAATGGAGCTGTAAAATGGAACAAGATTCAATTAGACCAAGACCTGGGCAAACAGCTGGTGAGAGACACAAAGCACATTAGTGTTGTGAGCATTTTGGTCCCATTGTTGAGATTCACAAGTGATTTTAATGAACTTACTTTACTGAAACAGGAAAATATTCATTAAAGTCTGCATGAAAGATGTGCAATTAAAAACTCTCCTGTCTTCCCATTTCTGTACCCACAACTATGTCAAACACAAAAAGGCAGTGACATCCAAACAAGAGTGGGGTCTGTGACTTTTTCAGATCTCCATGATGACAAGAGTGACTTTTTGAGTGGTTGCAATAGTAATTGAGAAAGACTCACCATTGGGCTTGGAGATAAGGTGAGGTCAGCAAAAGGGTAGAACAACTGTGCTTGCTCATGTGGTTTAAGAGGAAATAGATATCTAGAATTACATATTTAAAGGGTAGCACAGTACTAGAGTACCTGAAGAGAAATTGTCTAGGATCAAGGGCAAGGGAAAATGGAAGGGGTTCTCAGTAGCTTTATGATTTAGAAATATTTTTAAAATTCCTACATGAAAATTTTAGCAAGAAAAATTATGCTGGGACATTCCTTCATCAGGAAAAAAAATTGTCAAGTAGGATTTAAGGCAAGCAATAAGGAACATTTGATTTTGTCCATGGCAGGCTATACAGATGAGAAACGTCCCCAGATTTCCTAGGGAATTAGCAAATGGATTTACTGCATGACCGCTAATTAGTTCTGAGAAACCACAGATAGCTGGAAACAGAACAGAACATAGAAGGAAAGTAAATGTAGTGCTAATTATCGTCTAAAACAGAGGAACAAATCATCCTAGGGACTACCTTTCTGTTAAACACCTGGTTCCTGTGAAATATTGTAATGACTATCAAAAGACAAACAAATCACTTAATTTCACTTAGACTCCCGGGATGCTTAACAATGTGCTCATACTGTCACACTTCTGAGGAACAGAGCTTAATGACCTTACTGATATCCAGAGAAAGGAAGTGTGTGTACTGATTTAGTCTCGAAGAACAGGGAAGTAATAGACTTGGGGTGAAATAATGAAAATGGGATTATAAAGAATGGTCCACATGTTCATTCTGTTTTTCAGTGTGATTGTGATTCTGGGGGATGAATAAGTATTGATGAAAAAAAAAAGCAGTGGACAAAATGGTTCAGATTCAGTTATGCACATTTAAAAAATATACGAGCAATTATGTTAAGAGATATATTCAGATTTATATGTGTGTTTAATACTTTGATGAGTTCATGGGACATATGGGAAAACTGTGGAGGGGGGAGCCAAAACATAGCTAAATATTCATACTAGACAGGAAAGCTTTAGAATAGGAAAATAAATATATGTGAACACAGATTGGTAAGATTTGATTAAGAAGAAGGAGTTTATCTGGAAAAGCAGAAGTTGAATCTGATGTGTTATATTGTGGGATATTCTGTCAAGGAAGAAAATAAGAAATCTATTTTTGGATTATTTAAAAATACCTAAAAAACTATATAGCAAATTTATCATATAGCAAAATGATTTTAGTGATGTGGAGAAATTGTCCTGACTTAAACATTTCTAATGCCAGTGTACAGATCCTCAGCTGTTGCAGGGCAAGTGGTCCCAGTTGAAAGTCCATTTCCTCCAGTGTGGGGACTATTTTGCAATGACTCATTTCTTGGAGGTTATTTTGGTCATTTAGACTCTCAGCATACAGCACATGACCTACACAAAACTGGAGTCTACTCCTGATTTTAGATTTGGACTGATTTCAGCTAAGATGGGTTTTATATTGTTTTCCATGGCAAGATTTCTGTGGTTGCATGTGGAGAAGTGACACTGACCTCCCCCATGACAGGCTGTACCCAGGTGACCCTTCACTTTCAGCCACCAATTGCTGTGACAACTGAGTGCTAAAGGCATGTAACCAGCTACTGCGTTTACATCACAAAATGTCTACAGGAGCTAAAAGGTACAGATTGTGACAATTAACTTGTCAGGTAACTTGTTTTTTATTTCCCCTCTTGGCTAATGGACTTCGCAGTGGTTCCCGAGTCTTGGAAACACTGGTTCTTCAGAGCAATGCTGGCAGCTCTCAGGTGATATCAGCTAAATGGGGGAAGAACAGGCCTGGATTAATTTGGTAGTGGTAAACAGTTAAATTTAAATAATTTCCCTGTGTATTAATTCATACAAAGGCTCCAGGACTCCACACTGGCATATCTTCAGGAAACAGCATCTTGTGATTAATTCACAAAAAGGCACTGGCTGTCATCATATGCTCTAAACACCCATAACTCAGAGATTATCATTGCAGGAGCTAGTAAGCAGGGTGCTTCCAGGAGGAGGACACTATTATGGCTTTGCAAATTGATTCATAACCACTAAGCTACATCTTGGGCATTTGTTTTAGTGCATCAGTGCATCAGTAAGACAATGCAGCTGCTGAGATAGATACAGATGTTAGACCTGACTGGGGAATTTGAGCTGGGCCTGAAGGAGAAAAATGTACATCAACAAGTCCTCATTAAACAGGAAAAAAGAAAAAGAAAAAGGAAAAGAAATAAAAAGGTGAATGCAAAGAAATGGAAAAGGAAAAAAAAAAAGAGGAAAAAGAGGAAGAAATGGAAATAGTAAAGATAGTATATTTTAAAAGAGCACAAAATGTTCTGGAAAATTCAAAAGACTTAGAAGAAGATACTAAATCAAACTCAAGGATTAAATTACACCTCTGTCCACAGCCTTATTTGGAATGAATGCAGTTGTGTAGGAAGCAAACAAGGAATGAACATGGCACACTAGCAGGAATTCTGGAGTACAAAAGGATCTCTGTCTAACCGTGATGTGTTAAAGGCACTGGACCTCAACCAAGCTGAGGTACTAAGAAAGGCTAACAGCACTTTTGTAGCTTCTCTTTCTAGGCAAAGCAAAAAAGAGCACTGAAGATTTTATAATTCCAAAACATAATAAATCTCAAAGAATTTGTATCCAGAGAGACTGAAGCTCACATCACTGCAATGGCAAACCCAGTATGAGGATGTTGCAGGTTGGGGTGTACAATGGATTCGCTGCAAAGGTTTCTGCTGTACTGGAAAACAAATCCAGATTCAAGCTGGCTTTGTTTTATGGGTGAAGTAATAAATTGTGATTCTTTGTAGAATTTTCTTGTACTTTCCTTTCCCTAGTAATAGATGGACTATGGGAGGTATGAAGCAGATAACCCCAGAGAAATTAACAACACCAATTGGGTTGCTTCTTTCGAAGATGATAGGATGAAAGATTAAGAGGACTATTTCTGAATGACACATTTCATGGAAAGGGGCTCTTGGAAGAGCGTGATACTGCCAGCAGGCAGCTCACTGAAGGAGTCGTGCAGCTTCACTAACTGGGCTGTGACTGCGTCCTCCGCTTGCTCTCCTGTCTCTCCTAGGAGGTTGGACCTGCAGGGATTTTCTGAGGCTACGTGAGTCTGGTTGATCTGCAGTGATAGCTTGTAGAGAGTCTTCATTTTATTCACTCATTCAGCTGCTGTGGTTAAAATGCTCCCTTCCTTTGAACCAGAATTAGGGAGTCTTGGGCACTGTAAAGTGGGGAAGTGTCTCCAGTTCAAACACTAAAGAAGTTTTGGCCACATGATGGATATGAAAAACATCTGCTGCAGCAAATGTGGGAACTTTGATTTCCCTAGCGCGTCCTTTCAGCCAACAATGGTAATGCTAAGAAGGCTGAAGGCCAGCATTTACAGGACAAGGGAACCCTCTGAAGCTAAAATACTCTAAGTTAGAATCATGAGCACTGTATAAAAACAGAAATTGTACTGATTTCATTTCCTTTTCCTTCCCCTCTACAGAAGAGATGTTGTCCCATGCTCTAAGGTTATGCAGAAAAGTGAATTTTATGTTTCATAGCATTCTTGAAAATCTTGCTGTGCAAGCCTGGATGCCTGGTTCAAGGCAAATTTTGGGGGGGCTTTTTAGTAGTATGTGTCTGTCCTAAAGGAGCTGCTAAGGAAACTCCCTTTTCTTATGGGAAGTATTACTATAACTGGATCAATACTAGGTGCTCTTCTTCCTCTGGAACAGGATTCAAGAAAGCAGATGAATAAAAACAAGGCCTCGCTATCAGGATGGTTCAGGGTGTTGTGGATGCTGTCAGTCAGAAAGGCTCTACCCAGACGTGGGACCCAGGGCTGGTGCTAGGGCTGGGGCAGAAGGCTCAGAGGCTGCATTCCCACGTAGCTCTGCTCAGGAGGTTCCATTGCTATTTCTGAGTAAGCCTGAGGTGATGTGGGTTGGAAAATTTCTGGCCTGCCAGAACAATTAATTCAGCCCACAACCTATTCCCAGATGACCCCTTTACTAAGGATCCCTAAGACAGAGACAGCACGAACACAGCTTGGAAGAAGAAATTTCGGCTGTCTGATACTTTTTTTGAGAGGCACAGGACAAGGTGGGAAGCCTTGTTCTTGCATGGTAGCTGCCAGTGCTTTTATCACCCTACTTGGATGGCTGCTCTGCATCCCATTTGGGAATGGGAGAAGATGCACTCTTTGACCTTCAAAGATGCACTTTGGCAGAAGATTTCCCCAGTGTCTCATGTACGTGGAGCAGTGCAGAGTTAGCAGGTCCTCAGAGCAATCTAGCCATGTCAGCTCAGCACTGTGTGGGGCTAATTGGCACTGTTAACAGTGAGAGCTAATTAGCCCTTGCATTTCCCTGTGCTGACACAGCCATAACACATGTGCTCCTGGACATAGCTCTCTCAGCACAAACTGAGAGATCTAAGCAACTTGGGCCATGCTGTTGTGAACATGAATGCAGAGCATCTCTGCTTTTCATCTTTCAGCTGAGCGGAGTGAGCTGAAGAGCCCTGTTGACCACTCCAAGGTTTTGTGCTCCCAAAGACACAGCTAAGTACAAGCCAAAGATGAGCTGGTTTCTTGCAGCATTTGTTTTAGCTAAAATTCCGCTCACAGTGCAAGCTTGCAATCATTGCAGGTGAAATTGTGTACATGTAATAATATGTCTGGCCCTTGTGCCAAAGCTGGGAAATGCATGAAAATAAATACTAATTTCTTTAATCAATAGAGATATAAAGAGCTGAAATGAGCTGAAAAGAGCTAGGTGTAGAGATAAATCAAGACTAATGAGGTCTCATTTGATGGCAATCACTAGTAATGCCACTTCTGTGGGAGGAAAGAGGGAGTGCACATCTTGCTGTCAATAACACTGGGATAAATCAGGAAGAAGTCCTTTGAAGTCAATAGATTCATTTTGATTTATGCTAGTGTGACTAAGGGCTCAGTTTAGCTATATGGAGTTGTAGAGTGATAAATAAAAGTCCAAAAGGGGCTTCTGTATTTGTGATCCTTTTTGTCTGCAAATGGATGGTTTGGAAGGAAAGAGTAAGTCAGAGAGGCACAGTTTTCAATATGTCCCTAAAAAGAGCATTTCTAACTTGACCACGTAAAAAGGCAGTCTCAACTAAATAAATCAAGTCTGAATCTTTTTTTTTTTTCTGACATCCTTGCTTAATTTGCTATATATACCTCTGTGTAATCTGTAGTTATGGTTGTGGTGGATGGTCATCTAAATGAGTAAAACTTCAACTGTATCTTGCAAGCACCTAAACACACTGCCTCCCCGTTATTCATCCCCTTGGTGGACTGTTCAATTACAGTTGCAATTGGTATAGACTAGAAGTAAACCTCATGCTGCTCAGAGGTCTTTGACTAGCAGTGTCAATATGTTAAAATTTCCAGAATCTTTAATAAAATGTCATTATTTTAATAAAATATCACTATTTTCCCACTTTTATTAAAGACTCTGGAAAGTCGTCATATAAAGGACGGTTACTGAGGGATAAAAGGTAGACTGTGATGGCAGATATCACCAACCTGTTTTCCTATCAGCTTGTTCCTCAGGGAGGTACAGAAAAGTAAATGGAAATTGTATCGGGTAGCCCAGGTAAGCTTAGCAATTCATTTTACACTTATTTGTACTGGTGTGCGTATGTTCTTGGGGTGTAAGGGATCTGTGGATAGGACTCTGCATGCTGAATTTAATGAGCCATCCTTCAACCCTTCTAGATTTGGAGCAATTTCAAAGAATTAAACTGGGGTCAAACTGTGGTAAGTGAGAAGAAATTTTGACCTTTGAGTTTTACAGAAAATAAAAACTGAAATGTCAGTTTTCAAAAGATGGTGGTTATTTCATTTGATTGTGAACTTCAACTTTCAGCTGACTCGATCACAGACAGAAGCATGATCAGAAACTCTCCCTTTCTTTTCTAATCCTCCTATATCAATATAACCTTGCTTTGTCTTGACATTGTAGGAGTCTCTGGGAGGATCACTGAAGATTTTCTAATGCTATCCCAATTACAGCTGATGATTGTAACAGCAGATCTCTTTGAAACAGAAAAATATATTGACAGCGCTTGAAACAGAAATTCTTCCCAACTCAAGGTGACACTCGCCAAAAGCTCTTGGGAGCTGAAGTGAAATTAATGTGGATAGATTCCCTGCCAGAAAGAAGGTAGAGAAAAGGCAGTTAGAGATGCTTCCTGCATTTTGCCATAGTCTGTAGGTACACAGACACATGAACTCTGCTGGACCTCTCTCTCCTCTCCCCTGCTGCTGTGGTTCTTACCTTGCCGACATACAGCGGATCAGTCCCAGTATATTCCTCCAGAACAAAAAACTGGTTCCATACCCAGCTCCTCTTCATACGCTGGTGCTGCTTGTCTGACAGGTGATCTTCTTGCCTTTCAGAGAGGGGTCCAGCACTCTCCAACAGCACACTTGTAGTAAGGTCCATTAGTCCCCAAAAATACAAGGACACACCAAGTCCAAGCAAGTTCTTTGCATTGCTCATTCTACCTGCAGTCCACATCCGTTTACTAGGGCTGACTCAAAAGTCAAAACACAGTATCTTGGGTCTTTTGAGAAGAAAGACGGTCCAGTGAGCAGTCCTCTGAAATGGTTGATAGCAATCCTTGCTTTGAGATTGAGAGTCTCCTGTAAAGTTTAAAGGAAATTCATAATAGAAGATCTGCTTTTTCAAGGTAAAAGAGTTTTCTCAACAAGTAAATATGCTATAAACTATTTAATCATCTGTATAAAAACACAATAACAGGAGGCATATGGCCCGGAACTAGGAATACTATACTTTAGAAACTGCAGAATTGAAGCCTTAGATATAAGCACCATCAGGGTTTAGTCAATAAACAAGAGTTCTCTACTTTGCTAACTTAGCTGTAAAGTTGCTTTATGGTATTGATTGGCATGAGTTAAGTGCATACAGTTTAGAAATATTTATGACCAGAAGTCCTTGGAGAACATTAAATAACAGTTCACCTTGGAGATCTATAATAACTTTTAACTTTTTAGCAAGTGGTTTTCTCTTTCTGTTTGGAAACCATGCTATTGCCATTGCACATATGTGCATGCACACAGGTCCACATAGAGATATTATTATTGACCTATCTCAAACCTTAATTTTCATCTCTAACAGAAGCAAGAAATCTCTTCTTTTTTTAATTATTCTTTCTATCTCCACCTTGTTGCTTGAATTCAGATTTTGCACTCTGCTGCCTCATCTCTGAGGAGCTGATTGCTGCTGCAGATGTGACATTTCTAGAGTCTGAATGGTCAGTTAATCATTATATTATGCACAAAAGGTTACAAAATGCTGATAGTAACGTGCTATTGGGGATGTGTCCAAGCACTTCAAGCTAACATATTTTCCTCTGCAAGTTTAAAGATCTGCTTAGGCTGAGGAATGCTGACCTCTGTCAGAGTACACTCTCTCATCAGTCTAGGATCTTTTGTTGTCAAGAAGTCAGATTAGCTGGCCATTAGCTCAATGTCTTTCTAGGTTTAATGGGGTGGTACTGCACTCAAGTTCCTCTCTCAAAATACTCCATACATCCTCTAAGGGCCTAATATTTTTGCTGTTCTTTTTTAGGAACTAGCAAAAGCACATTGGGCTCTGAGGTTTGGGCAAGTAGTACAAACTTCATTTTACTGTAGTTCTGTGTGTCTTTAGGCTTACTTAGTTGTTTTATCTTGTGGAAATAAAGAGAAGAAGGAGATACCTCTCAAATATTCCTAACTGAAAGTCTTCAAAGATTTCAAAATCATAAAGAATATTTTGCATAGTTGCAAGGCATTGTTTTGAAGTGAGGACTGAGATGATGAAATGTTTTCAACAGCAAAGAAGAGAGTGTTTGAACACCCCCCATCATCTAAACCGGTATAACTTGAGGCCTGCACACACTTAAAATTCCACCAAAACAGCGACTTGGAATTTGACCCAAAACCAGCCAAAAGTTGACTGAAGTCTCGAAAAGGCAACTTAAGACTGGAATAAATTTCCATGAGGAGATTTAACTGAAAATAATGATTTTAGACTCAATTCTACACAAAATAATCTTTCCAAGTATAAAGCCCATGAGAAATACAATTCCAATGCGCTATTATTCTATTCAGTGGTGAAGTGTAGCAAACTACTGGACTGAAAAGTTTATAATCTAAAGCTCAATAAGTACAACAAAGAAAGGACAACTGTAAACATGGAACACTGTAAATCTTTTCTAACCAGAGCAATTTGCAGTACTGCTATTTGTTTAGATGTTGGCAACTTGCTGTGCTTTGCCTCATTGTCTGAGAAGCCAAAGATCAAGGATTCATGTCAGTACACAAGCCCGAAAGGACCACAATAATCTCTGTGTATCTATCTGCCACTCAATGAAGAATCTGGTAGCTCTGCGCGAGAGGCACACAACTTGCAAGTTTAGCTTGATAACTGTGGCTTAACTTGCACAATGCCTGAAAAGTTCAACAGCAGCATGCAGACCACTTGCTTGTCTCTGCACTGAAGAGTCTTTAGTTCGCAACAGCCCATACACACCTGTGCTTGGGAAAGGCTGATGAAGTCTACTTCACATCACAGATACATCTGCCTAGCTACTAGCACATTGTCAACAGCAAGTTTTTCTCATCAAAGTTAGGGGGACATTATTCACAGCCAACATCTTGCTGCCAAGTACAGGTGGAGAACCCATCATCACCCACCTCTGTGGTTTGTTGGAACCTGTCACCTTCTTCTCTGCCCTGTAACTTAGAGAGAACCAGCAGGCAGCCATCACCAAAGTCCTGTCTGAAGTTTTTACTTCAGGAAACTCCACTGACTATATGAAGTTATATTTTCATATATATGAAAAGGAAGTGCCAAAACATTATGAACCAATTCCTGTGGCAGTAAGCATTGTGTTGGTAGGTGAGCTCCCAAGCCATGGACTAGTGATGCTGGTTGCCTCTTGCAATTAAGTTCAGCCAATATGGGTGAATTGCTCTCAACCAAAGTAATACCAAATTACGGTTAGATAGTCTTGTAACATTGTGCCTGTAATAAGAAAAGAGCGAAAGGGGTCTGCTCATCAGAATCCTTTTCCTTCGCATGTGTAACTATATTAGCAGAAAACAATGAAAGCAGAAGAAGGTCAAGAGTACAGGCATATATGCTTCAGGCTCTCTCTGATAATAGCCTTTGTCATTTGAATGTCACTTTGCATCATGCTGTGGTTCCCTGAGGAACCTTGCTTGAAAACAGAGTGTTCAACAAGAGAAACATTCTTCAGAGCATTTCCTTTCCTCAGTGAAATCTCTTTTTAGAGTAGTGACTCTGAAATCATTAAGAAACTTGCCATTAAATAAAATCTTACTCCTTCCCTGGGTAACAGTAGCATGTTTCTCCATTTAATGTCAGTGACAGGACCATATATTTTTGTAGCCACAGTAGAAAGCACTAGCACTAAAGAGGTATATATTTTTTTTCTTTTTCCTTTTTTTTTTTTTTTTTTTGGTGCTAAAGGTGTATTTAACAGCATCTGGAGCTGCAAGGAGGCTATTTGTCAAATAAGGCATTGCTCAGCAGTGTAGAAGACTATCTTGTATATGCAGGGTTTGAATTGTGCAGTTGCACAAGTGACAGGTAAGGTGCAGATCAGGTCACTGCTGAAAAGGTCTTTCAGAGGACTTGGCCAGATGGTTACTTCATCAGTAGCGTGTGATGGATAACTATGAGGTCACTTGGACTGGGGACATAAAATTTGGCTAGAACGATGGCAGTATGGTTTGAGTGTGCTAGCCTGGTGGAGTCTCTAGCTTTAAGCAGACCTCAGTGTGTTTTTTGCATTAGATGGATGATGCTGACTTAAATGCAGAGCCTGTCATCCTGCCTCAGACTGAGTAGCTCCTTGCAGTGAGATCAGGGAGACAAGTCATAGATGAAGGCACTTGTGGGCATGACTGAGTGAGGCAGAACTGAACCTTAGATGTTCTCCTAATGCCAGTTGTTTCTTCAGTCTCTCCAAAGCAAGTTCTCAACAGCCTTGGACATCTGCAGAGGTGGAATTGGGGTGCCTCTGCTTGTCATATGAAATGCAATAAAGAAAATTGTGTTTCATGGCTCAGCATGAAGATATGCCAAGGATTTGAAAGCAGGAGAGGTGGAGAAATCGTTTCCTTTGCTTACACAAATAACCAGTTAACTCCAAAGTGACTGTCTGTGTGGCCACAATGAGTGGGAGTTTTGCACAGGATGCTTTATTTCTCAAGAACAATTTAAACATATGTTTCAAAACCCATTTTTTCACCCAGAGTTGACTACTCCATTGTAATAGGCTTAGCTGCATCTGTGCAGTTTAGATCTCTGACCCAAATTGAACTTCTTTTTTTTTTTGCCCCAGCTTTTGTGATGAATATTTGATTGCCAGTTCAGTTGTTTAAATTATTTTCTTTTCCTACTCTTGCCTTCCAGACATTGCTGAAAACATTTTTGCTTCTTATCTCTCAGCAATTACAAATATGGCTTTTGACTCTTGGCAACTGATGGTCTACACACAAAACAAAGGAACTTTCTAATTGTTCTACACAAAAGAGTCACAATAATGCACTCTCTAGCAATTCAAATAAAATTTGGCCTTTTATTCCATATTTTGAAATTAAATAGGCATGTAAATGTAAGCTACTGTTAATGCTCCATTTTGAAAGACCCACTCCTCAATCCTGCATTTGCACTGTAATTAAACTTTTCTTAATTGAATAGCTATTTCTGGGAAAAAGATGAAAAGGAAAAAGAAATATTTGACAGAACCAACTTCTAACATTTCTTACATGTGACCCATTTATCATGTTAATCCTGAAGAGCACATCACTTCCAAAGAAAATACAAAAACATTAATAGCTTGGATGACCATATAGACATCTGTAGTGTTCCACTGGGATTGAATGTATTGCACTAAATACATATTAACATGGACACCAAGGATTTTTTAGTCAAAAAAATAAAACTTATTATTGTATTTTTTTGTGGATGAAGTTGTCCCCATGAAAATCACTATACAATCTGCATTTATAAAAATAATCATATGCTTAAAACTTTTAGGCCTGCTCTTTCCAACACATATTGGGATCTATAGGGATACCAGGACTCATGTGTAATGCCACAGACTTTATTGGCTTCCCTGAAGGCACGTCAGCTGACCTGAGGTTATTCATTCGCAGGAAAGAGATCACACTGGAAAAGTGGGGCAATCAGTTTTAAACTCTCTTCTCCTCTGTTTCCATAAGTAAATATGCAATTACACGTGACATTTTAAATATATTTTTAAGTATGTAAGTAAATTTTTCTTAGCAGTATATACACTGCACCAAGAATCCTTTAATGGAAAAAGATTTCTGTGTTTGATAACCTCTTCCCCCATTATTCTGCTGAAAGAAACAAAACAACTCAGTAATGAACACAGTGGGAAGAAATTAAAGTTGAGAGAGAAGAATTTCCAAGTGAGCTGTTTACTTTGTTCTTTGAATTTCTTGAATTTTAAACGGAAGGTGGGGATGTAACTTCGGCTTCCTTCCTTCCTTCCTTCCTTCCTTCCTTCCTTCCTTCCTTCCTTCCTTCCTTCCTTCCTTCCTTCCTTCCTTCCTTCCTTCCTTCCTTCCTTNCCTTCCTT